AACTGTATTGGTAAATAAGCTGAATATGTGAATAAACTGACTCTATGTTATTCTTATCATTGCCAAGCATTATCTAATGAACTGGAAGTATTTTTTTTTCCTATGTGGGTTTTCAATATATTTAATAATTTTCAGGATACTCCTAAAATTTCTGAAGTTTATATTGCCTCAGATATTTAAATATTTACACAGTAAGAATGTATAACCTCTTTTTATAGAATTGAGGTGCTCAAGCATTTCATAGGACTTCCCATTGTATAGGAAGCTTCATTTATCATTTGAACTTCAAGTTGTGTATTTGTGTATTTTTCCCCCACCATAGTTTCAAAAAGTTTTACAAGAAAACAGCCAAACTCTCTGCAGTTTTCTGCCAAAGCTGATGCTATTTAGCTCTTTCATAATTCAAGATCAAACATCTGATTTCAAATAACTGCCAGAATTAAAAGGCAGCACATGTTCTTGGTTACTTCTTCGTCTGTAGCTTTGCCTGCCAGGCTGCAGCTTGCCTGGCACCAGGTGGCAGTACAAACCCTCCTTCAGCCACTGAATACAGCTCTGAGCGTGCTGGGAGTTAAGTTCAGGACAAAGCTGACTTTCTGACGTACCTGTGTACATGTGTTAATTTAAATAAAACTTAAGAGAATTTTCATGTTGTATTTCGGTGTCTAAGATCTTAGGCCCCTACTAAAATTGCAGTGTATGTCCATTATTAAATTAGAAGTTTATTCATAATTTCTGTGTTCAGGCAAAATTATTGTAAACATGTTCCAAAGGTCTGGTGTGCCATTCAACACAGTTATTGTTTTGCCTAGTGACTCTAGAAATGTTTTAAATTTATATTATCTAAATGGGATATTTTGATGCTTGTTTCCCAAAAATGTTCTGAGAAATTGAATTTCTATCCAACATTTTTTGTAGAAATCATTTGCAGTTTCCTGAGTAGAGATTATCAGTTGCTTTATTATGAATTTTATCTGTGCTGGCTCAGATGAGTAAGGAAAACAGTGCTTGACTGTTTGAGATTCAGGGCTTTTTTGGACCTCTTGAATTCATGGTTTGACCAGCAAGTAGTGTATTAGAGAATACTTGACTCTTTCAGAACGCTGTTTTAGAACATAAACAGAAAGAACACTGTCTCAGAAATGCTGTGGCACTTTCAAGATATTAATACAGAGAGTACTTTTATTCAGCTTTTTCCATTTATGTAAAACACATCTATTTACTGAAATTATTTGATAATATATTTTCCTATAGGTTATGACTACTCAGTGTAGTGTGTGAATATTGGAAGTAGGATGTTTGAGATCCAGGTTTTTATGGCGAGAAACAGGCAAGTATGTGAATCTTAGAGGTTCTTACATAGTTGTTTGGGTTGATTGGTTTGTTTTCCCTTGCTTTTCTTGTTTGGTAATCTAGGTGAAACTGAAGGATGATCTCAACAGACTTTTCTATCCAAAAGTGTACATGCTAAGATGCAATCCTCTGTTTCACTTCTGTTCAAAACTATATAGTACTCTTATAGGAAGTACAGTAGGAAAAAGTATTGACCACTTGGTTTATGTCTGGGAAAAATAGATTGAATGTGTTCAAGAGCCACAAGAGCAAGAATCCTAGAAAATGAAGTACCAATAACAGAGTATTCTGTACACTGCTTAGAGTAATATTGCACTGCAAAATATCAGTGACAGTTGTGAACAGAGACAGAAGTGAATGTGCTCTGTGTTTCATATGAGACAGGAGCATGTATACATCTTTGCCACTGATAGGACTGTGTATAATTTGTGGCAAAACAGGCAGCATCTGCTAAATCAAAATCAACGATCCTGCATAACTTAGAACTTATTTAAGAAACCAAATAAGGATAGCATTGTGATCTGTCATTTACTATTCACTAGTCTTGGAAGATGGAAGATGTTTCAGATGCTGGAAGAATGCTAATTTCTGTATTTTTTTTTTCTTTTTTTTCTTTTAAAAGCATAAGGCTGAACAAGGAACTGCAGAGTTAGTGCGATAGCAGTGAAATAAGTATTGCTAATTTGCAGCTTTGTTAGCATAGAGTAAGTGGTAAAAGTGTACTTGGTGCCATTCGACATAGTGTTATGGTAGCCCGTTCTTGGCTGCAAGTTTCAGACTTTTTAATGTCGCTATTTTGATACAAACTTTTCCTTTGACAGTGTAAAGTAGTAGAAGACCTCGGACCTTGCTGTCAAGATCATGACTAGAATCAGTGGCTGGTGGTTTAAGTGAAATAAGTTGTATTTTGGAGTAAGTTCCTTCTGAAACATGGTTGGAAATATTTTAGTTTTAGACAAATAGGGCTTTTTAAACACTCTTTTGAGGAGTGTTTTATTCTTTTTTGAGAAACTTTCTGCTCTTTAAATATGTCTTCCATTATTTTTCTTCTTTCATGGACTTGGGGTGAAAAAGAAAAATCTTTTATTGTCCTCAGTAGGTTCGTGACACTTGCAGCTTGTCATTAAAATGTTTATAACAAAAGCTTATGCTTCAGGGCTTCAGCTGATTGCCCATAAGGAGTATCAGACTTTTTTTTTTTTTTTTTCCTCCAATCTGATGCATATTGTGCTTAGATATGGTTTGTGAATTTTTTTTTCTTTTGTTTTCTCCATCTGCAGTACTTGATTAACCACAGCTGGAGACAGGGCTCTCACAGTTGGACAAATGCTGTTAACTGTTATCAAGAGATGTACTTCACAAAGGTCTGAGTACGTTTCTTGTTCTGAAGCTGAAGGCTATTGTGAGCTCCAAACTTGATCAGGAAGGAAACCTTCAAATGTAGAAACTACATAGATTTCTGGGATTTTCCAGATTTTTTTCTATAAGATAACTTTTTCTTTTCTTTTTTTAGTATATCCAGATTAGACACAATGATTTGCTCCCCGCCCCGGGCATATGTGTGTCGTACCGTAATTGCAAGCAGTTGTCATGCCACAAGTTTGTGATCCCACTTGCTCGCTGCAGCTGGTAGCCCCGTTAAACAATTTGCCAATGTTAATGTGCTGCAGAGGAAAGGAAGAGGTTAATTACCTGGAGACCTCTTGAGAGAGTCTGGAACTTGTCACTGCAGCCACTCCGTCTTCATGACGTGGCCTGAAATGTTCTTTTCTGTCTGCTGTGATTGGTGTAAGATGAATTATCAGAGCAGTCAATCACTGCTCGAAGTGCTTGCATGCCATGGTTTAACTGCCATTTGTTTAATCCATTCAGTGTAAATTGGCACTTTCAGATGTATTTCTTCTAATTACATGTAAATTGAATATTTTGAAAGAGGAGAAGAGAAAATATGTAACTTGGGCAGTGCAAAAGCTACAGGTATAAATAAATGCCTCACCTCCCTCTCCTTCCTATTGGTTAAATTATGCCCTTTATTATTATTATTAACTGCAAATCATTTTTTTTCCCAACTCTGTAAGCTCTTGTTGAGTTCTAAACAATGAAAATAGGCCTGGCTTACATTTCTGGATAGATTAAATAATCGAATACAATTATGCTCACTCTGGAGGCATTCTCCACTGGACTTACAGAATTGCCATATGAAGTAGCAAATGCCGAACTAAAATAGGATTCCTGTAGCAGAAACACTTTTTGCCATAACATTGGCAGAAATAAAAACAAGTTTAAAGGCCTGAACTGCTGTTCTGTTTTTATGCTCATCCTCTTAGGACTGTAAAACAACTGGGGAACTTAGAAATGGGCTTTCCTCAGACAGGCGTGAGGAATCCTGAATCAGGAACACAGATTCCTACCCTGAATCAGGAGGAAGGCAATTGGCGGAAAATGGAGAAACGAAGTACATATTTTTTGCCTTTTTTTTTTCTTTTCCTCTGAGTGATGGGTGTGAGGAGGTAGAGGGTTAAAACCTTTCAAAACTCTATAGTCTATTCTGGAAGAAAGTTCTCCCTGTTTAGACTTCCCTTCTGTAGCAGACTGAAATGTTAGCCCATCTAAACCGAGGGCAAGGCAAAGGTTTGGGAGAGAAACAATAGCTTCACTTATGAGCAGAACTGTGGGTTAAAGGGCAAAATTCTCAACTTGTTGGGCTCCCTCTCAAGACTGATTTTCTAGTGCATTATTATTTTGGTTTCTATGCTTAAAGAAAAGGAATGCTGGTACTCGAGCCAATGGTGATGTGTATGCTGGCAGCTAAACGAAACAGTAATTTTACACTCTATGCATCGATTAAATTATTCTTATTTGAAAGTTTTTACTGGCATTTTTATTTTATATTATTTGTACCATTTAAAACAAATTGTTTAACTTATTGCGATCAAAAGATGGAGATTGGTGCTGTTGGATGGTTTTCATGGTAGGTTTGTCTGTTTCTTTTTTTAATTTTCTTCTCACACTCTAAGATATGTCTGGCATTTTTGGAGAGAATGAGCACAGCACTCAGTGATGAAACTCTTCAGAGAACATATTTACATATTAGAAACCTTTCCTCCAGCTGCTTTGAAAATAAACAAAAACCTTTGTCTAACCAATGACATATTTGAAAGCTCATTTTTATATGTTTTTATTTGGTTACCTGCAAGACAGGTTTCTGTATTTATAATTCTCAGGAAGGCCCAAGTCAGGTGGTGAGAAATTTGTTATAATACACTTAGTTTTACTTTCTAGTAGTATATATTGGTTATGATTTGAAAATATTTCAAAGTAGCTTAACTTTTCACAATAGTTTGAAATATTTTGCTTGTTTGGGGCACTTTAAGAAAAAAATTACGGTCAATAGCTTTATTTATCAGAAAAATACAGAGCCTTTGGTAGAGGCTGAAACATAATTGGGATATGGGTATTTCAAGCAGAACCAAAAGTGAAAAAAAATGGTTTTGGGTTTTGTTTTGTTAAGTGCGGAAACATTTTCATTGCAAGAAACATTCTTATAAAGCAACAAAAACA